TTTGAGGACTATTACTAGATCAACCAAAATTCTAAATGTTCATTGCTAAGGATAAAATAAATGTGCTCTAACTGGCCACACTTTTCTTTTTTAATTACAAATAAGCAGAACTAGCAAACGCATGCACCTGGTGCTGGGGCACAGCCTCAGCACTCTTTCTAAAAAACAATTGTGCCTGTCCTGCCTATATCTTAGCAAAGCAAATTAATCTCTGTGAAGCAGTCTGTGAGCTAAAAATCACTGTACGAATGTTGGGTTCTCTTGACTTTTTAATAGTGAGTTTGTTGGTGGTAAAATTAATGCCTGTGAATGAAAAAAATATTTTAATAATCTCACTAACAAATTAATCATGATGTTTTTTCAAATTGGAATATAATTCACACATTATTTAAAATGTACAGTTCAGAGAGTTTGGTACATTACACAGTTGTGCAGCCATCACCACTGTTGCCAAAATACTTCCGTCATCCTGAATAAAAGCCCCATACCTGTTATAAGTCCCCCTCCTCCTTCCCTCAGCCTTTTGCACAGCTGTCCCTAGGGCTTTGCTTATGCTGGACATTTTATTTAAGGAGATTCACACGGCATAGGGCTTTTGTTGGTTCACGATGTTACAGCATGCCTCTCTCATCCCTTTTTATTGCCAAGCAATATTCCACGTTGTGAGATGCCACATTTATCTATTCATTAGCTGACGAATATTTGGGTTCTTTCTACTTTTTGGCTACTATCATTAATGCTGCTGTGAACATTTGTGTAAAATTTTTGTGTGGACATTTGTTCTTTTTCTTGAATATGCACTTAAGAGTGGAATTGCAGAGTCATGTGGCAGCCGTGCCTTTGAGGAGTGCCAGACTGTTTTACAGAAGACCATGTCATTTTACATCTCATTGTCACAAGCACTTGCCAGCCAGTTTTTATTGTAGCCATCCTCGTGGATGTGAAGTGGTATCTCAGTGATTTTTATTTGTATTTCTTTAATAACTAATGATATCGAAGCTCTTTTCCATTTCTTTATCTTATTGTCCATTTGTTTATCTTAGGAAAATGTCTCTTTAGCCTAAATTTGTGTGTGTGTGTGTGTGTGTGTGTGTGTGTGTGAGAGATACTGGGATTCAAACCCCATGCCTTGTGCATGCTAGGCAAGCGCTCTACCATTGAGCTTCATCTCAGTGAAGCTGAGTTGTGATAGTTCTCTATATGTAATGTGTGGATTAGGTAGATGATTTGTAAGCATTTCTTCCACTGTGTGGGTTATCTTTCTGTGTTTTTGATGTTATCTTTTGAAACACAAGTTTTTAATTTTGAAGATGTCCAGTTTATCTAATTTTTTGTTGCTGCTTGTGCTTTTGGTGCCACTAAAAAAGATAAAATCACCTAATCCAAATTCACAAAGATTTACACCTGTTTTCTTCCAAGAATTTTTATGGTTTTAGCTCTTACATTTCTGTCTTTGATTCATACTTAACTTAATTTTTTGTATATAGTGCAAGGAAGGATTCCCTATTCCACTCTCCTGCGTTTGATGTCTATTTGTTGAAAAGATTATTCTTTGCTCATCTGTAACTGAATGAAATAGACTTGCCCCTTGGAGAGTGCAGAGCCAATAATTACACTACCAGGAAATAAAAGACTGAAGAAAGGTTTGTTACTTGCAGCAAGTAAGAGGAGGGCTAGAGATAATTCTAGAAGTAATGTTTTCCTGAGCAAAGAATGTAAGGGGTTTTATTAGGAAATCTCATATATACTCATACAGGAAGGACTGGCCAGCCAGTACACCTGGAGGGCACATTGCTGACTGAGCATCCTCAGTTGTAGCTCATGATGCTTCAAACATCGCATGTTCAAAAAGTGCCATACAGAAATACATCCCAGACAGGAATTTTCATATGGTAACAGGGTTTGCTCTAGGGTGAATCAAATGCCTGCAAGATTTTGGCTGCTTCCTTATAAGCAGAAAACAGCTCTTCCCACCAAGCCTAGTGGTTCATACATCAAATTGTCTTGCCACCTTAATCAAAAATCATTTAAACATATATGTAAGAGTTTATTTCTGCTGGGCACCAGTGGCCCATTCCTGTAATCCTAGCTACTCAAGAAGCAGAGATCAGGAGGATCATGGTTGGAAGCCAGCCTGGGCAAATAGTTCTCGAGACCCTATCTTGAAAAAACCCTTCACAAAACAGGTCTGGTGGAGTGGCTCAAATGGTAGAGCGCCTGCCTAGCAAGCATGATAGTTATGGGGTACAACCTGATGTTATGATTCCTGAGTGCAGTGTGGAATTACTAAATAAAATTAATCAACTTCTAGCCATCACTTCAAATACTTAACATTTTTGTGAGAACATTTGAAATTTGTTTTCTTAGCAATTTTGAAATGTACAATACTATTACTTATGATATTCACCATACCCTGCAATGGATCTCAGAAGTAAACAACAACTTCTGGCCAAGTGTGGTAGTTCACACCTGTAATCCCAACTACTCAGAAGGTAGAGATAGGAGGATTGCAGTTTGACACCAGCCTAAGCAAAAAGAGATAGTGAAACTCTGTTCCAAAAACAATAAGCAAAATCAAGACCTTATCTGAAAAATAACTAAGGAAAAAAAGTGGGGAGGGGTAACTAGGGGCATGGCTCAAGTGCCTAGCAAGCACAAGGTCCTGAGTTCAAATGCCAGTCCCATCAAAAAGAAGAAGAAAAGCCTGTGTGAGATTTCATACCGTTTGACCATCTTCCCCTAGCCTCTGTAATTACCATTCTACTTTGCTTCTGTAAATGTGATTGTTTCAGGTTTCACATGGAAATGAGGACATACAGTATCTTTAGGTGCCAGACAGATTTTACTTAGCATAATGTTCTCCAGTCCCATCCACATTGTTGTAAACAACAGGCCTTTTTAAAGCTAGACAGCATTGTGTATACACCACATTTTCTCTATCCATTCATCATTGATGCACACTTAGGTTGATCCTGTAACTTGGCTGTGTTGAATAATTCTCCACTGAGCATGGAAGTGCAGACATCCCTTCAGCAAACTGATCTCATATCTTTTGTGGAAGTACTTAGAAGTAGGATTTCTAGATCTCACACTGCTTTGATTGTTGTAGGTTTGTAGTAAGTTTTTAAATGAAGTGTGAGTCCTCCAGCTTTTGCTTTTTCAAGGTTGTTTAGCTATCCTTCCGTTCATTTAAACTGTGATATCTTTAGCAGTCTTTTATACTTTTCATTACAAATCTTGCAGTTATTTTGTTAAATTTATTCTTTTTGGCTGTACTGGTGTTTGAACTCAGGGCCTCACACTTGTTAGGCAGGTGCTCTACCACTTGAGCCCACTCTGCCAACCCTAATTTACTTTTTTGATATTATGGTCAGTGAGTTGTTTCCTTAATTTCATTTTCAGAATTCTCATTGCTAACATATAGAAATACAATTGATTGTTTTATATTGATCTTGTACCTTGTAACCTTGAAAGTCATTTACCAGTTCTAATAGATTTTTTGTGGATTCTGTAAGATTTTCTGTATACAATCCAGTTAATCTGAAAATGGAGAGAGATTTACTCCTTCCCTCCATTGCAGATGTGTGCCTGCCCCTCTCTCTTTCTCTCCACGGTCCCTGATTGCCCTGCTGCAAACTCAAATACAGCGTTGTTTCCAAGTGGAGAAAGCGGAAATCCTCTTCCTGTTCTCCATCTTAGGGAAAGTGTGATTCAGCTCCTGTCCTTTATCAGGTTGAAAACTTTCCTTCTGTTCCTAGTTGGTTGAATGTTTTTATCATGAAAGGGCTTGGAATTTTGCTTTTTCTCTGTTAATTGAAAGGTTCATGTGGCTTTATCATTTATTCTTTTAATATGGTGTGCTGCAGTCTGATTTTCACATGTTGATCCGGCCTTGTATTCCTGGGATAGCCCTCACTTAGTTCTGGTGCTTAATCCTTTGTATGCTACTGGGTTTGGGATATATCTATTTTTTCTTTTTATGATACTGGAGCTTTGTACTCAGGACCTTGTGCTTGCTAGATAGGTTCTCTACCACTTGAGCCATGTCCCCGGCCCTTTTTTGCTTTTAGTTATTTTTCAGATAGGGTCTCATTTTTGCTTGGAGCCAGCCTTGGACTGCATTCATAACTGGGATTACCAGTATATGTCACCATGCCCAGCTTACTTGTTGAGATGAAGTCTCACTAACTTTTTTTGCCCAAGCTGACCTCAAACTATAATCCTCCCAATCTCTACCTCCTTTAAGCTGGGATTATATGTTGAGGATTTTTTTTTACATCTATATTCACAGTAGATATTGATCAATCATTTTGTTCTTATGTCTTTGGTTTTAGTATTGAATTATATTGACCTCATAGAATGAATTAAGAAATATTTTATCCTGTTTTTTTGGAACTATGTAAGGTATTGGCTTATGATGTTTGTTTAATCAAGGAAAATAATATCTTCTCACTTCAGGTACCCAGGTGACCACTCAGCACCTTGAACCTTGCCTTTGGTAGGTATTGACTAAATTCCAGACCCTTGCTTTCTTGGAGGGCTTTCCCAACTCTCCTGGGGTTGGGAGGTTGTCAGCACCCTTTCCCAGGAGCCAATCCCAGTAATTTTCAATGTCCCACTGGTTCTCTTTGTCATCTCCTGCAGTGTTGTGAGAGCCTTTCTCTGGAAAGTCCTTTTAGAGGAGAGTTTTGTAGGTGGCTTTAGAAACAGTGAAAAAGGTTCAAACAGTTCTAAAAAGTTATTTTGGTAGCTTTTTTAAAGTTGTGCAGAGCAGAACTGAAAATTCCTTTGGTTGTCCTTGCATTTTCCATATTAGAAATAGCCATTTGAAGATGCTATTTTTTTAGGACGGTGCTGTGGCCATGTCTCAATGATTACTTTGTCAAGCAGGGTTGATACCTCAGAAGTGCACAAGTTTATCAAGGTCACAGTGAGAGCAAGAGGCACGGTCCTTGGGCCCCATGGGACGCATTCCTGAACCCCTGTGATCTTGCCCACAGGTACCACGCACACAGACCCCTCAGCCGGAATCTCCAGGGATGACCAGCCCCTCCCCACGCATCCAGATAATCTCCACCGACTCAGCGGTAGCCTCACCTCAGCGCATTCAGGTACCTACGCCAGTCCTACTGGGATCCAGCCGCCTGCCATGCAGCCCTGCCTTCTCCCACCCTGTCCCAAAGCAAAGCTGCTAAGGTTTCACTCAGGAACTCTGCCTCTTGGCATCAAGCACAGTGCTACTTGGTTTATTTTATTTAAAAAAAAAAAAAAAAAGGGAAAAGGTGTACTTTTATTTCACTAATGTACTTTCAAAGCAAAAGTGTGAACTGTTGCTTCAACTACTGGGCTAAAGTGCCATTTTATTACTCACTGCTTCCAAATTGAGAAGCAGCAGATATGGTGTTAGTTAAGAGCAAGGACTCCCACTTAGTCCAGTGCCCCATTTAATAACTTTTTTAAAAATCTTGGGCAGTTAAATTGTAAATACCTTTTTTATTTGGAAAATGTGGTGCTGTCCTGATAAGCTACTGTGAGGAATCAGTAGGATATTGCTTGTAAAATGCTTAGAAGTGTGCGTGGCGTGTAACGTTCGGTGTACACTATTACCTGAACATAGTAACTGTTGTCAGTGGTATTGTTATTAACTGATTGATGATCACTTAAGCAAGAGCAGGGCTCTGAACATGCCTGTGGCTCACTGAATGTTTTCTACCCCTTTGCAAAGGTATGTGTGGGCAACACGCTGGTTGAAGGGATAATACATTAATGACAGATCAGAGATTAGCTTTTTTTTTTTTTTTTTTTTTTTTTTTGCAGTACTTATGTTTGAACTCAGGGCTTCATGCTTGCTAGGCAGGCACTCTCCCACTTGAGCCACAACTCAAGCCCTTTTTGCTCTGGTTATTTTGGAGATAAGATTTGCTTTTTGCCCAGGCATAGCCTGGATCTCAGTCCTCCTATTTTACACTTCCACTGGAATGACAGGAACATGCCACCACACCCATCTTTTTTCTGGTGAAATGAAGTCTCTTGAACTGTTTTCCCTGCCTGGCCTCAAACCATAATACTCTGGATCTCAGCCTCCCAAGTAGCTAGGATTATCTGCATGAGCCACTGGCACCCAGCCAGAGATTCACTTTTACCTCATCAAGCTGAATTGTAAGGCCAAGCTAAAACACATAAACAGAGATGGACAGCAAAAAAAAAATTTGGTACATTACATGGGGATGAAAGATGCAAAGATGCAAGGGCAGAGAGGTATTTGAGGGACTAAGAGGATTGCTTTCATTTATACTCTAAGCTCAGTGTAAGTGAACAGTAATGTAATCTGGCTGCTGCAAAAATGGTAGAGTGTTCGTATACTCTTAAAAGATTGAAATAGAAGATTTCTAATAAATAAAATGAAATCAGTTAACAATTATCTGTACTGCACATAAAATATATATATTTTTATATATATATATTTATATATACACATACACACACACCCCTATATACAGAAGCCGTATAGTTACATAACTTTAACTTCACATCACATGTGAGTGTTTGGAAATTAAGAAGACATTAAGGGGCTTTCACTATTTCCCCAAATTAGAAACTTTACATAGCTAAATGATTTTTCTCTTTTACTTTGTTCTTATTTGCTCATAATGACCCTCCCAGCCCTTGGAAAGGAGCTCACATGAAGGCTACCATACCTCCCAAGTCATGTTTTCAAGTGATGTGAGGGCAAATGAAGAGGCATGGTTCCCCCAGTAGACTTTGTCTGGATCTAGTGTGTATTTCCAGAGAGCATGCACATTCTCTGATATTTTAAGAAGAGTTTTCTTTCCCAGGAGGCCATTCAGTCTCCCATTTTATTAGACAGCAGAACTGTTCCATGCGTGGCATTTGATGCCATTCAGCTGGAGTGCAGAAGTTCCCTTAAACAGAGCCCTGTAATAGGACCATCCTTGGTATTGAGCTCTCAGCCAGGAAGATAACCCTTTGCATAGATTTTATGTATAGTAAATAAGAGTTGAAAATCTTCCCATTGTGAGCTGTGAATAAAATTTGACTCACTGAAGTGGTATTAAACTAACTGTATTTCAGTGAAATAAAGATCATTGATGTTTTCTGATTTCTCAAAGTTAATATGGATAACCTGGATTTTTTTTTTTTTTTTTTTTGTGGCAGTACTCAGGGAGTATGCTTGCTAAGCAAGTGCTTTGCCACCTTAGCCACACCTCCAGCTCTATTTATTTTTCGGTTAAGGTCTCGCATTTTTGCCACACATGTGGCCTTAGACCACAATCTTCCTTACCTATGGCTTCCTCTATAGCTGGAATCATCTACCACCACACCAGACCTAATGGATTAAAATGGGGTCTCATTAACTTTTTGCCCAGTCTGACCTTGAATCTGTCCTCCTGATCTTTGCCTCCTGAGTAACTGGAATTATAGTTGTGAGCTATGGCTACTAGCCTTTCACTCCTCTTTGCACTGGATCTGTCAGTATGAATTTCCTAAGAACAGTGCCATTCTCTTACCTAACTATATTACAGTTACCAAAAATTGGGAAATACTAATAATGAAGAATGCCATTATCTGATCCATCCATAGTCCATTTTCCAGAATGTCATCATTTGTCCCAGTAAAGTCCTTTATGCTGTTTTTTTCTGAGATCTAAGTTATTTCTTATTAATAGTGATAATAGTAATTAAGGTGCCAGTTGACACAACATGGGCATACCTAAGTTACGCAGGCCAGTGTGGGTGACCAGAAACATCACCTGTGTCCCTTGTGTCATGTTGCCCTAATGTTGCAAAGGCCTCTAAGGAAGAGGAGGAGCACAGTGCTCAGAGTGGAGAGGTAGCCTTAGGTTAGGGCTGAAAGCTGTTGCTTCAGCATACAGAGGTGTAAGACAGGAGCTGTGGGGGAGATGGAGGGGACAGGACACAATTGGTTCAAATTTTATTTTTTCATGCTGCTTTTGAAAACAATTAAGGTAGATTAAAAGGAATAAGCTGTGTCACATACTAACTTCTACATACTGGTGGTTGTCAGTGTTCGTTCTATTTGGGGCAGACTTGATAAGTTTCTCTTGCTTCTGTGTATTTTGAGGTTTCCCTGAGATGGGCCTCCATCTCCCCCTTTCTAGTTGATGCTTTACAGGAGACCATCATTGTCCTCATGTTCGACTCTACATTAACTAAATGTTTACCTTATATAATAAAATATCTACCGTACATATTGAGGTTCACATAAAATTTTGTTGGAAAGGACTTGTGAGGCTACATTTTTTGAAAGTTTGAAATCTTTCTCCCAGTCCCCAGGGGCAGGCCTCTGGGGTTCTTAACAGCTTCTCTCCTTCCTGCTTCCCACTTTGCAGATTTGTTTCTTGCAGCTTCTTTGAGCTGCTTGCTTCACAAGCCCTGTGCTCTTTCTGTGTCCACAAGCCTCTAATGTTTCTTTTCTCTGATACTTCAGTGACCTATCTCAGGTATTCAGAGCAGTTGCTGCTTGTTTGTGTGTATTAGATGGGTAATACACGCGTACTGTAACAGGATCACACCAAACAGGGCCAGAGTGAAAAATGGGTCCCCTTTCCCCCTTCTTCCCCTTCCCACAAAGGGCACTGTCACTATATCAGTCACTATTTGTTCTTCCAGAGAAGGGCTGTGCACACAAACCATAGGTAGACACATATGTAAATGCATGCATCACATTTTTACACAAATACTCCCATTCTGTGCATCTTACTCTATTCCTTTGCTCTTTTTTATTAGGTGTTTTTTTGGAGGTGGTTCCATGTGGTATAGATTAACCATCTGTATTTCACTTTGAATGGCTACTTGATATTCCATTTTACCCCCAAAGAAGTTACATTTCTAATATTTATTCATTCGTTAGTATATGTAATAAGCAGAAATTGTTTTTAGTATATTCTCAGATTTTATGTAATAGAAAAGTACTGTTTTCCCCGTTCTTCCCTGTACTCCATCTTTTACTTTTCATCCAATAGGCTTTTTGAAAGTTATGACTAATTTTATGAAGATTGTCTTGTTTTTGCTTTTCTGAGGTACCCCAGGTCAGTCAGTTGGCTAAGTGTCTGCTTTGTAAGAGGAGGAGAAACCAGATTAGCATTTAGTAGACATAGAAGCCACTTAGAAACCTGGATAATTGTGGGCTTCTCATGCAGCATTGATTTGGAGTCATCTGCTGCACCTCCTCTGCCTGTCACAAAATGGGAGTTCCTCAAAATTCCATCCTGAGTGTACTTCCTCCTCTCTGTTCACGCCAGCTGGACCCCAAGTACATCCAGCAGTGACTCCCAATTAGATGTATCTATGCCTGGATCTCTGCTGTAGCATTTAGTTCAAAACATTTAACAGTTTCTCAGAAGACTTCATCTTTAACCTGTAGTTTTTTCCACAAGAGTATTGCTTTAATTTACAAATATTTGGGGATTTTTCTAGTTATTTTTCTAGAATTGATTTCTACTTTAATTCCATTGAGGTCTGAGACATCCTTTTTAATTTCACTTTTTAAAATTTTTACGACGCAGAATGTGATCAGTTATTGACTGTTTCATGCAAGCTTGAGAAGAATAGATACTATGTTGTTGGATGAATTAATTTTATAAATGTCAATTATATCCAGTTTATAGTGCTGTTCATGTCAACTATTTCCTTATCAGTTTTCTGCCTGCTGCTTACAGGGAGGCATTGACATTTCCAGCTATAACTGTCATTTCCTTTTTTAAAGTTTTATTTTTGAATTAGCATACATTAATAATATAAGGGGATTTCATCATGATAATTCCATACATGGACTTTTTTTTTAATTTCTTTCTTCCTTCCTTGAAATTCTTTCAGTTTTTGCCTCATTTTTGTTTGCTTACTTGCTTTTTGGAGCTGAGGATGGAACCCAGTGCCTTGTACATGCTAGGCACTGGGTTCCTCAACCACTGAACTACATCCTCAGCCCACAGTATCCTTTTGTATTTTGATGCTCTGTTGTTAGTGCATGCTCACTTAGGAGTGTTGGATCTTTTTGGAGAATTGATTCCTTTTTCATTATGCAGTGCCCCTTTATGCCTGATATTTTTCTTACTCTGAAGTTTACTTTA